CAAGAAAAAGAAAATAAAAAAACCTAAAACCCCTTTACTCTGATCACTTGGCAATTACTCCCAGGTCCTCACCCCATGATGCCCTGAGGCACATCAGCATATCTACATAAAGAATTCCCAGGAGCACCTGGGTGCAACAGTTGGTCGAGCATCCAACTCTTGGTTTCAGCTCATGTCATTATATCTTGGGTCGTGGGATCAAGCCCCACCTTGGGCTCCATGGTCAGCGGGGAATCTGAGATTCTCTCCCTCTGCCCCCTCCCCTGCTCTCTCTCTCTTGCTCTCTCTCTCAAATGAATAAATAAATCTTAAAAAAAAAAAGTTCCCAGAGAAAGGCTGGTTTTAACATGTCATCCCAGAAAATTTCTTACTCAGTAACATGTAAACCTACTCTCCTAACATGCCAAAGACTGGATATTTCCATTCTCTCTGAAGATAACTTCATCTTCTCTGAAACAAATCTCAGTGGTTAAGATGTGGATTACTGGGGGGGGGTGGGGGGCACCTGGCAGGCTCAGTTGTACAGCACTTGAGTCTTCATCTTGGCATCATGAGTTCAAGCCCCACACTGGGCACAGAGTTTACTTTTTTAAAAAAAGGAAAAAAAGAAGAAAGAAAGAAAAAGGTTTAAAAAAAAAAAAAAGATGTGGCTTATTGTAAGAAAAGACACAAGCAAAACCTAAGAGAGTCACCAGCTGTTGACTTGCTTACTCTTGTATTACAGATTGAGTGCCCCCAACTAGCACCCAGAGACCACTTGTGGTGGTGAAGCAGGCAGCATCAGCACCAAACCACCTAGGTTGAATTCTGGCTCTGCTGCATCAGCACTGCCTAAGCTCTGCCTAACTGGTTTTTGGCAAGTTACTTAAAACCCTCTGTGCCTCAGTTTGCCCATCTGTAAAAAGGGCATCATAATAGAATCTTCACAGGGCCGTTGTGAAGAGTAATTGAGATAACAAAAAAATGTACTTAACACAAGGCCTGGGCACATAGCTGGAACTCTATGTTAACTATTTGTACCTAGCATCTTGGCACAGTGTCTGGCATATGGCCGGTGTTAAAGAATTATTCTCAAGCATCCGGTGCTTGGCCTAACTTTAAGATTTAAAATTTCATTCCAAATATTTTTTTTAAAAATTGTTTAAAGATAACTTTGCAGTGGAAAAAATCACTATTACCAAAATCTACATTCTACATCAAAGTTATGCTTTAGCAGGAGGGGCAAAAATGAGCTCCCTATATTCTTGGTTCTTATCTAAGTTCCTCAAGGGAAAATAAAAGTTATAATGTAAGAAGACAGAACACTTGGTTATCACAACCCATTTAAGGTACAGTTTAGGCATATCTATCTGATTTCTTAGACAAAAATAAATGAAAAATAACTGCTTATCACATTTGCAATCATTTTAATTGTAGCTCTGGTGTGATGCCCAGCTCCTGAATCAGACCTAGGTCTGTGAAAGCAGGAACTATCCTTGTCCATTTTGTATCCAAGGTAATACTACCCGGGGCACAACGGGTACTCAATATCTACTTTTTGAATGAATAAATGTGCTTCATAAAATACAAAATCCATCATGGTTCTTGGTTTGGCAACTAGCCAAGGCTAATCTCCTTTATTTGTGTTTTAAACAAATAAGCTACCCTTTCTGTTTGTTCTGACCTGCACTACAGAGAGTACCTCCACAGAGTAAAACAATCTTCATATTCCTCAGGAGTCATGGTCCATGGTCATTCCAATTGAGGACATATGCCTAAACCCATCTCTTGTTAATGCCATACAGGAAAGCCAGAAAATTGTCTCTATCCCTCCAAACTAAAATTCAGCTTGCAATTACTTTTTTTGTTATTGTTTTTCAGAGAACTTTGAAATTTTTCTTTCTGTACACAAGAGCTTACAGATATACAGATACCGAGTAGGGAGATCCTTAGAAGTCACCTAATACAATAGCCCCATTTTCCAGATGCCTCCAAAGAAAATCACATTTGAAAGGAAGCCACATAGTCAACATCCTTCATAAGCCTCTTGACACAAAAGTAACAAATTTAAATTTTAATAATATTCAGAAAAGAGGAAGGTGTTCATCCACCAGCACCTGCCTACACAGAAGGTCTAGGTGGATGCCCCAGTTCTCCTAAGCAAGGAGTAGTTCTAAATTCATTTGTTCATTCAACAGACACGTTTGAGGGCCTCTGGTGTGGTGGACACTATTCTAGGTGCTTGAGACACGTCAGTGAGCAAAAAGAAAGATCACTGCCTGTGCTGTAGCTACATTTTAGGCAAAACTCTGGAGGTGCCTAGGAAAATAAAGAACACATAGAATTAATAGAATACATAGGGCAGGAAGCGTTCCATACCACCATGAGATCATTAAGCTAGTGGTTCTTAAACTTGGGCGTGCTTCAGAACCCCTCAGAGGACTGATCAATACTCAGAAGGCCCAACCCCACCCCAGAGCTTCCGATTCATTAAGATCTCAACAGGGCCTGAGAATTTACATTTCTAATATGCTCTCATACACTGTCAACGCTGCTAGTCCAGGAAGCAAACTTTGACAACCACTGACCTACTTGGAAACAAATCAAGTAGCTTGGCCAGAGCCATAGGCTACTCAATACCAGGCCCAGATTAAGGGGGTTTTCCCCCTTCTGACTCCAAACTGATTAAGCTTTTATGAGGATACAGCTGTCACTTATCCACTTAAGGCAAACACTGCCCAAAGAAAAATTATGCTTGAGTTGGAGAAAATCAGAAAAGAATGTTTTAAGATAAAACACCTTAAGCAGACAGCACTGATCACTAAATACAGACATAAAAATTAACATTAAAGTTAGAGGATTTGTTTTCTTTCACATATCAAAATGCCATGATAAAAGAATGTTTTCCCTAAAGGGTCTTATCATGAGGGTGAGGTTCAGTCTCAAATGAGCCTATTTATTTTAAAAAAGTCTATTAACTAGAACTATATACACTAAAATATAAATAACTGATTGGATTAGTAATATTAGTCTTTTTGTGCTAATTGTATTTTCTAAATTTCTACAATAAACATGAATTCCTTTTGTAACAAGGGAATACAAGTTAATTTCTTTAAAAAAGCAGTGACCGTGTTTATTCAAAAAGACTTTTAATTAGAAAATTATAAAAGGCATCAGTTAATATACTGCAGAAATTAATACTGAATGATTTTTTTTCCCCAGTACATAAATAATTCAAATAACTTATTTTACATTTTAGGCTAAACCTCTGTCTGGATTAATGATTAATACCAGAGAAGGAAAATATCCTTGAAATTTATCTGATTTTATTTAAACAAAGAGAATAAAACAAAACTATGATCCTTTAAATAGTTGCATAAAAATCAAATTTACTATTATTCTATATAGCAATTGTTTTTTATCTTTAACAAATGTAGGGATGTGATGCTAATTCTAATAAAGAAAGCAAAATGTCATGTGT